CTGTATTTTGGTTCATTGAAAATTCAGTTTGACTACTTTCACTTTCAGTTCCAAAATTCAAAATTTTGTGTCACACATCCTGGGCCTTGAGAAAGCCAGCCAGAGCAATCAAACACAGATCCACAGATTTACGTTTCACTTTGGTGAAGTTTACCTTCTGTAATGTAACAGAGTTGATGCAATCTTCTGTAAAAGTGACAAAAACAGTTATTTTATTGCAGTGATTAATTTTACTTATAGAAAATGTTACATTGACATCCCGTCAGCAGCACCATCTGATCAATATGTGATCCATGATGTGATGTAAAGGTAACATTTTTAAATATAGGTAAAATTAATCACTGCAATAAAATAACTGTTTTTGTCACTTTTACGGTGGATTACATCAACTCTGTTACATACAGAAGGGAAACCACCAAAGTGAAACATAAATCTGTAGATCTGTGTTTGATTACTCTGGCTGGCTTTCTCAAGGACCAGGATGTGTGACACAAAAATTTGAATTTTGGAACTGAAAGTGAAAGTAGTCAAACTGAATTTTTAATAAACCAAAATACAGTTTCAAAGCAAATTAATTCAAATTCAAATCATTAAATTCAGTTTCAATTTAGTGAAATTTATWTTCAAACCAATGCATTCAATTTCATATTATGCACATTCAGATTCAATCTGAGCAATTCAAATTCAGTTCCTGCTGGCACAAGATTTATCCCATATTTTCTGCTTTGCACGAGTCTGAATGTGCGTTTTCACCTACCTGATAGTGAGCTTGTGCCTGCTGAGCAGAGTTAAGTGTAACGTTGCAGAGTTTACAGTACAGTGGTTTGCACAGTTCCTCCAGCCCGAGGGAATCATCCTGCTCCTCCATCCCCACCGAGGAGCTCTCATCCTGGGGCGGCTCACAGGCCGGCGCTGCCTGACCTGGAACAGGACCACAGATATAGCTGGAAACTGGAGATGGGTTCAGGGCCGGCCCAGGAGGCCTTGAGGACATCTGTGAAGGGTCGGGGTCTGGGGCAGGGGGTGAGGACAGGGGACTTGGAGGCAAGGGAAATCGACTGGCTGCAGGCGCCACTACGGGCGGTGGCACCAGTGCTTGGGCAGGGGTGAGATGCCGAGGCCCCAGTGATTGTGTAAGGTCCATGGTGGGAGGTACGATTGCTTGTGTGGGATCTACAGGTGGAGGTCCTAAAGTGTGTGTCATCGGTGGGGGGCACAGTGGCTGAGCTGGAGGCATTGGAGGTGGAGCCAAAGTGTGCGGTGGAGTCATAGATGGAGGTCTTAATGTATGGGAAGCAGCGATGTGAGGAGGGCCTAAACTTTGAGGGGCCAGAGTCGGAGGTCCAATTGCCTGAGCAGGGGCGATGGGTGGTGGCCCAAGAGGCTGTGCAGGCGCCATCGGTGGAGGTCCCAGGTGGTGCAGAGAGTCCATGTAATGGAAGGGCTGCTGCGGATGACTGAAGAGACTCAAGGGGGGCTTCAGCATGGTTTCTGGACCTGTGAGCATCAAAAGACAATAATTTAACTCAATCTGCACTCAGCATAATTTCATTATCTCTCACGGTCCGGCGGTCTCGGTACTTTTTAAAAACACAGTTGTGAAAGTAAATTTTCTTGTAGCCGTGTTGTTGATTCTAAAATAAAACTTTTGGATGAACTGTAATGGAATTCCCTACAGCCGTTTGTAATTTGTAATAATTTATCCAAACGACTTTCATCATTACCTGTATTTCCATTATGCATTACCAACGGGGTTGCACTGAAAAAGACTGCCATGGAACCACAACACTCATGTTCCCCGCAGGATTCATTTTAATATAGTAGAACTCTGCTGGCTTTTAGCTAAGGTTAGAGAGCTGCAGTGGTAAAGTGCGATCGCCTTTAAAGATATATCAGTCAGGATATGATTTCCTTTCAACTGGAAAGCAAAAAAAAAAGGTGTTTAACTTATTTAGATCTTCTTTATATAAAGATGTACAATGATTGAAGGCAGCACAGATTTATGAAAGTCCTGGTACAGGGTGCATGCAAAAAGATAAATGGAAAGCGATGAGTAAACAGAATCCCATTCTTGGACYGGAGTCTTGGAGTTTCACGTTTCAGTGAGCATCACAGCGCTCAGGCTGAGCATATAGGTCCTGCAGCCAAATGTACAGGGCATCAGATATTTATGCACACACATATGGGCAGTACCAACACGTTACCGCAGTATGGGTCTAGTRCATGAGCTGATGCAGTGGATTTATATTTTCTGTGTCTGTATAATCAAGAAGAAATAAGAATAAATGGTGTGTTTAAGGGGGTCTGCGTGTGTTTGTGTKTGTAATATTAGACAAATTGTCAGGTTAGTGGTAAGCCAACAGTTGTGGCAAAGCTCGTGCTGGAAGCTTTTATCTGAAAATCCAATTGAACAGCCACCAGCGGTGAATCATGGATCTAAAATAACACCCAGGGGTGTTTGTGTTTCCAATGGTTGTCTGTCCGTCCAGCTGGCTGTCTGTCACCTGGCATGACTGACTTCAGGAGAAAGGTATGCTGGACAACACAGTGACTTCACTGTTAGTCATGTCGCAGATCCAACTAAMCTAGACGTGGTGCYGGTGCAGCATGTGGAAGTAACAAAYAATTTCACCTCTTATMCAGATTCAAAACGTTTCTTATATCCTAATCATGGCAACATTTACAAAGCTGTTTCTGGAGCTACCAGTTTGGAAATATACTCTGTCCTTTGGAAGAATCAGTGATTTATTTGTGGCAAAACACCAAAGAAGAGTATTGGCCACTGTGGACCTGAGCATGGATTGTTAAAGAGATGCAGCACAAACAGCTCCTTAAGGTTCATTAACTGAGAGTGCAGCACAAAGACATGAAACAAATGGCTGATTTAGCATCAAAGATTGAGGAAAATTAGGAAAACCATGTCCATCCATCCATCCATCCATCCATCCATCCATC